CAAGTCATTTAAGAACAAATATCTAACGAAGGCCAGCATAATAATGTTTTCAATGCTAATCTTTCATCAAATACAATCAACAATACAAATACGGGCGACATAAAAGATAAACCCTAACGTGACACGGGGCACAATCACACCGTTTACAAACAGTGACTTTCACTTTCCTGTGCACACAGCAGAATCGGGAGCAGCAGAGCGTTACAGACACTGTTCCCATAGCACTGAAGGCTTGCTATTAGGGACGTGTGATAAGCGTTATCGATGTTTCTATTAAAGCTTCTAAAGAAAAACCTAACCAGAACTATCTACACAATTATGTGACAGCTTAATCCTGTCGATTTTATCTCTAATTAAATCAAATTATTCAAAATAAAATAAAATTTGCAAAAGAAATAATATTATTTCAGATAGTCCATAAAATATAGATTTACAACTAGTATCACCTTGAGCAGTATGTCACGTAAGCAAATGACATAAAACTCCAGCAATATAATGCTGCTATTTTCAACCTTAACAAACAAGCAACAAATAAAAATAAACATAACACTAAAATCACCGAGGATAATGAAAGCATCCTTGGAATGAAAGACTACGCAAACAATGAGTTGCGTGGAACAAAGGATTCATTTCTGGAGAATCCACTAGGTAAGTACATGTATATGCGATATCGATATATTTCTGCTGTTGCATGGAGTTTGGAAGCTTGAATGGTAGATCGTTTGTTTGCCAAGCCTGAATTGCGAGCACCGCGGGCTGCAGGTCGTCTGCATAACTTATAGGACCAAACCTCCTACTTGTCTACCTATGTATCCATTAATGACAATTTTGAACCTTCAAAGTTGAAAATAATATATAATATAAAATAATAATTTGTCCTTTCAGTTTATAGAGCAAAAAATTAGAAAAATATAAAAAACGAGTTGAGAGTATCGAAACAAATAAATACTGAGAAATAGGTGATAATGGTAATGTACTATAACAATTACATAAAAATAAATACACTTATACAGCCACAGAGATGTTTCGTGTGTGTTTTGTTTAATAACATTATTACCTATTCATAACATTACAAGTAAATTGCATACCAACGAAACGTTAAATTCACCAGAAATAGACAAAAATGAAGCCAGGAAACAAAACATACTAATGGGAATCAATAATTCATTTTAATCTCTAGAATAAAGTTTCATATATAGATATGTATATTTAAAACGGTTTCTATGAAATCATTTGCCGATGACACACAATTTTAATCCTTTTTAAATTGGTTCAACAACGACAGCGTAGAATTAAAAACTATATAATATTTATTCTTCGAATACGTTTTAAGCTTATTAATACACATATGCGATATCCGGATACCGCTCCGCCACGGAAATTAATTCATATAAATTTTATGGGAAACTAGCTATGCCTGCAGTTTCACCGGCACGAAATTTATAGCCTATATATTATTCTGATGTATAAGCTATATTATTGTAAAGTTTCATTAAAATCCGTTCAGTAGTTTTTGCGTGAAAGAGTAACAAACATCAATCTATACTCACAAACTTTCGCGTGTATAATAGTATTAAGATACATAAACTTCACTTCAAAAATAACAGTACGATATAGGGCACCGTAAAAGTATATATATTTTATATTATAAAATTACAGTGTAAGGGTATTGTTACTTTTTAAAGTGAATAAGCAAAGTTTATAAGCAGTCAATTATAAAACAATAAATGAGGCAAGAAATCAACTAACTACGTTTAAGCGACGTGAAAGACGCCCCCATATGTAGGGTCAAATCATTGCCATAGCACTGTTATACCCTCCCACTCAACTTAATCTTGCCGTCTGACACCTATAAACATAAATTTGTAATGTTGTCGTCGGCAACGGCGTTACATATTTTAGTTCATACCTATTAGGGAATTACTACTTTATCATATATAGTATCATGTGTACATTAGGAATTTTAATGTATCAAGATTATAATAGTACATTCAATATAAATCACTACATTTTACAGTATCCTGTGTAATTTCAAAAAGTAAATTAAAATCATATATCGTACATCTAGTACAATAAAACATTATCTAAAATAATACAAACTTTAGAAAATCAACGCTAAAGTTTCAGTCTTAAAGTCTTATTTGAAAGAAACTGAAAATGCGACGTCGTACCCGTGTTTTTTGTTTATTAATTGATTTTTGTTTGATGGAAGTGAAGACGCACCAAACCAACAAAAAAATATTCTAAAAAACATTTATTGTGGATTTTACTATTACGTTGATAAAGTTCCCAAAAATTAGTTTGTATGTATAGTATATGTATGTACATATATAGTTTAGACTTTAGCTCATGTTTTCCATGTTTCAGTTTACAGACAGCCATCGGTTACATTTTTAGTATATGTATAGATATGACAGACATAGTAACTGTCTTATGATAAATATTTTAAAACGTTTATAATTTTCTTATAGTTAACTAAAAAAGTGTATCAAAATCAGATTTATTTGTTATTGTCCTCATTTTAAATATATAAATATACAATAGATAATAAAATCAGCTGTATAAAAACAATAAAACACAAAATACTATATTTAATTTACTAAAAATATAATTATAAAAAACACTTACACATTTTCCAGGAAAATAAATTAATTTCAGTGTGGAGATAGTACAAAGTATCACAATGGACTAGTATAATGCATTGCTTTTATCACTTCATAGTGTATGGGCGGTATTAAATGAATATTTAATTACTTCGCTTACCAGACGAGTCGTAGATTAAACACGTTACCTGAAAAAAAAAGGATTTTATAATAAGAGATAATGAAATACTCGTATATTGTAAAAGATGAGGTACTGGGTATTTAGGTATTATAATGTTCTATACTGTAAATTTTAATACAAATTTAGAAAATAAATTACGTTTCTGACAACTGGCTAATCAGAAATTGTTTTTTTATTGTTGTAGAGTTGTAGTAAAATTTATAGTTCTTTTATTGCACAATCTTGTTTATATTCCAACATCTTGACAATCGTTCATATATAACAAACTTCGTATTCCTAATATTATTCTTCTATTTTCTATTTACCTACATATAAATAAAACTACAACATTTATTACCCAGCATAGTACCATCACAGCTGTCGTTTATCGAGATTTTATTTGACTATAAATATTATTTACTATATCTAACAAATATTCTGAATTATAAGTCACATAAAATTATTCTATATTAGAAGTATAAAGACCTATATTCAACGTGAAGGCGTAGTATGTTATTTGACAAACCTCTACAATATAATGTAATTAATACAACGAATAGACAAAGGTATAAATCGCTGAATGTAGTGTATTTGTTCCTTGAATTAAATTAGGAGAGCAGTACTATTTTCTATGTAATTACAATGTGACGACGTAGTAAATCTGCCTCATCAATCACAACTAAAGCCCCAAAGATACGGACAGTTGTTTTTTCCTCTTAATTATCGCAATCTAAAGCGATAGAACGAACGTTATTAGAATTTCAATCCAATTGGTACGTTGTTAATTTAGGCCAATTTACTTGTAATTCCTTTGACGCAAAGAAAATTAATAGGTCCTTAAACCTTATACTGTTAACAAACAAATAAACATCGATAATAAAATACACATACATAATACCACTTATTGCCCCATTAATTTCGACAAAATTAGCCTACCATCCCAATTTTAGGCCAATTGGCAGCGGTTTTCAATTTCCATTAGAGTCCATCAACGTGTTTAAAAACCAAAGAAGGTCAATTATTACTTTATATAATATTATTAAATAGGATCATTTACACTAATAGAAAAATTGGACTGATCAAATCAAACAAAAATGTATAAATAAATTCGCATACAATAAAGTGTCCATACTATGTATATCTGGCCAAAGTAACACCTTTATGTAAAATACAACATGTTACATTAGTACACTAAATCAAAAACATCAAAAAGCCAGTAATCACTACTATCAGTAATTACAAAAGTCCATCACAACTCAACAAAATGAACGCTGTTACTGCATAGACTACATAAAAAGACTATTTTCTCATTATTCCACGTCTCTTCATATAGCGGAGCAATATTTTTTAGTCGCAACTGAACACATTCTGAATACTTCAGTGAACTTTACTGTAAAAGCTCGAGCTTTTCACACGGCAAAGAAAGGCCAGCTTGCAATTGCAATGAATGCTGCATATTTTTTAAAATATATAACATATAGGTGTACATAAATTACGGCTAAGACTTTGTGAACACTGCAAAAATATTCTTATGTGAAAACATGTACTCAAACACTAGTTTTGCTTCAATGGTTTGAATACTAGATTGGGGACCAAATTACGACATTTTATAGCTTATGTGTTATTCTGATGTATAAGCTGTATTACTATATTACATCAAAATCCGTTCAGCGGCTTTTGCGTGAAAGAGTATCTATCCAACCATACTCAAAAATTTTCGCATTTATAATATTAGTAAGAGTATTCATTATATTTTTCTCAAAATATGCTAGAATAAATATTTATAAACATTACATGTAGGATTTGAAACTTGGCGGTATGAACGAATGGGAACGAATGAGTATGAATGAATGGAAACAGAGGAGCAAATGGATAGAAACGAAAGAGTGAATGGATGGAGAAAGGAATGAATGGAAAAAGAGGATGGGCATCGCTCTCTTCCTCGTAGACTGCCATATAGTTAGGTCGTTTCATGTATCATAGTAAATGTTTTTTTTTTGTAATTTAAATAAAAGGAGTTCTATAAAATAATCATCCTGTTATTCGCGAATCCTCATTCCCACAATTTTGGGGGCTCGTCCGGGATAGAGGATCAAAGATTACTTGGATGTTAACGGATTTTTATGGAAGACGGAAGTACCCGAATTGCGGCGCGGTACAGACGGTGACGCGGACGAAGAATACGAATGTCGAGGTGGACACGTCGTATTTAAAGATTATATTAAATTACAAAAAGAATGTCTAAAGACGAAAATAAGATGGAACGTGCATTTCGCGAGGCGGCGTGGCATCCAGTTGAAACTTTACCGGTATTCAACGGGACCGATAAGACTATAACGGCGGCGAGGTGGGCGCAGGAGATAGAAGAGAACGCGGAAATATTTGGTTGGAGTGCTACACAGCAATTAATTTTGGCGAGGAGATCGTTAGCCGGAAACGCATTACTATGGTTAAAGTCGGAGAAACCATTCAAAACTTATGACGACTTAAAATGTGCTATTATGAAGGAGTTTCCTGATAGCATAAATTTGAAAGAGCTGCACGAAATCTTATCCAACAGGAAAAAAGGAAAAAACGAAAGTTGTTATGAATATATGCTAATAATGAAGGAGTTGGGCAAGCGCGGCAAGTTACCTGATTATTGTGTTATTCAGTACATAACAGACGGTATTATAGATGATGAGATAAACAAGGTCATGTTGTACGGGGTCACTACCTATGCCTCGTTAAAAGAAAAATTAATGATATACGAATCCATGAAGAAAAAGATGTACGTAACTACAAGGGAAAGAAAACCCATAGTAACGAAAGAACATTACAGAGACAGCAGAAAATGCTACAAATGTGGTGAAAATGGTCATATTGCGACAACATGTTCGAAAGGAGTTAAGTGTTACAAATGTCATTCATACGGCCATATTTCGTCGAACTGCAGAGCTGCATTTGTCGAAAGAAATTCAAATACGATTGGGAATGATAATAAGTGCATCTCAATCACTTCACCTACGACGGGAGCGGAAGACCGACCGGAACGACGATCAATGTGTGTGAACGGTGTGAACATAGACGCGAACATAGAAAATGGCGACGTGCGTAGTGGCAGCAATGTTGACAGTGGTGACAGATGTCATTCGCTCGGGAACTGTCAATTTGAAACCGTCATGAATACGAAGCGAAATAGTTCAATCAAAACATTGGAGATAAATGGCGTAATAATCGAATGTTTAATTGATTCGGGGAGTGACGTAAATCTGGTGTCGGCAGATGTATTTTTCGAACTAAATGTGAGTGCCTATAATAAAGAAAAGATAGTGTTGCACGGACTGGGATTGTCGACTGTTTACTCTATAGGAAAATTTCAAACAGTACTAAAAATTGATGATTGTTATTTTGAATTATTGTTTTATATTGTACCAACAAATGCAATGCCTTACAAAGTGATCCTAGGTCAACCATTTTTGGAAAATGCGGTAGTTATTTTCGATAAAGGTGTGGTAAATGTAGTTTCGAGGAATGTGCATTGTTTGTTTACAGATGACAAACCGGTTAGTTATGTACCAAATCCTCAGATTATGGAGACAGCTCAGCTTATAGTGGATCAATATAAGCCCTTACAAACCAAGGAGGCACCATTTGAAATGCAGATTATCCTGAACGACGATGTGCCGGTGGCACAGCGGCCGCGTAGACTAGCCTATAAGGAACAAGAAGCAGTTGATAAACAAATTGGTGAGTGGTTACAAAATGGTATTATTAAACCTAGCTTTTCAGAGTATGCAAGCCCATTAGTATTAGTTAGAAAAAAAGATGGTAGTATAAGAGTCTGTGTTGATTACCGTAAAATAAATAAAAAAATTGTTAGGGATGAGTTTCCTCTACCAATCATTGAAGATCATTTAGATAAGCTTTCTGGATACACGATTTTTAGTAAATTGGATCTCAAAGACGCTTTTTTTCATCTCAAAATAAATAGTAACTGTACAAAGTATACATCTTTTGTGACACAGAATGGTCAATATGAGTTTATGAGAGCACCTTTTGGTTTGTCCATATGTCCGAATTATTTCACACGTTTTATCACTATTATTTTCAGAGAGCTTATAGCAAAGGGGTTTCTATTAATTTTTATTGACGACTTAATAATATTATCAAACACATATGATGAAGCCATAGATCGACTTCGTGAAGTTTTAAAATTAGCTTCTGAATATGGATTACATATAAATTGGAGAAAAAGTGACTTATTGACTAAAAAGGTGGAATATCTTGGTTATGAAATTGAAAATGGAGAAATAAAACCGTGTAGAGACAAAGTTGAAGCAGTTTTAAAGTATCCGCAACCTAAGTCGGTAAAACAGATTCAAAGTTTCATTGGATTGACATCCTATTTTAGAAAATTTATTGAAGGGTATGCTTCTATAGCACGACCATTAACAGACTTATTAAAGAAGAATAATGATTTTATTTTCAGTGAAAAACAGGAGATTGCATTCAAATTGTTAAAGAAGTTGTTGTCTGAAAATCAAGTATTAAAATTATATAACCCAGGACTCGATACCGAATTGCATACAGATGCATCTATCATGGCTTATTCAGCAATATTATTTCAAAAGGATTCTAATGATGGGAGTTTACACCCTGTGTACTACCTAAGTCGTAAAACCTCAGATGCAGAGCAGAAATACACAAGTTATGAGCTGGAGGCATTAGCCATAATAGAGGGTGTTAAAAAATTCAGGAAATATTTACTTGGCATAAAATTTAAGATTGTTACTGATTGCTTAGCATTTGAAATGACATTAAAAAAGAAGGATTTATCAACTAGAGTTGCAAGATGGGTATTGTTATTACAAGAGTATGATTATGAGGTGGAGCATAGAAAAGGGAATCAGATGCGGCATGTTGATGCTCTTAGCCGCAATCCTTATGTTACTGTTGTTACCAGAGGGTTACATGATCAAATCAGGAGAGCACAGGAACTAGATGAGGGTATAAAGGCGATTTCAGATATAATTAAGGAGAGGCCTTACAAAGATTATTATGAACAGAATGGAATCATATACAAGGGTGATCAAGGACAAATACTTATTCCCAAGGGATTAGAAATGGAAATTATTAAAACAATTCACTCGAATGGTCATTTTGGCAAGAAAAAGATGTTAGAAATGTTAAATGTAGATTATTATATAAAAGATTTATCTTCTAAAATAGATAACTTCCTTGTAACCTGCGTACCATGTTTGTTGGCAACGAAGAAAGAAGGAAAACAAGAAGGTTTTCTTAATTCCATAGAGAAGGGCATTATCCCACTTAGTACATTGCATATTGATCACATAGGACCACTCTCAGAGACTTCAAAATTGTATAATTATATTTTAACAATTGTAGACGCATTTACAAAGTTTGTTTGGCTCTTTCCAGTGAAGACAACTACTACTAAGGAGACATTAAGTAAGTTACTTATTCATCAGCAGACTTTTGGAAACCCAGATCGAATTATATCAGATAGAGGAACGGCTTTTACTAGCAAGGAGTTTGATGACTATTGTAAAGATGAGAATATCCAACATATTGTTATCACCACTGGAGTACCCAGAGGAAATGGGCAGGTAGAAAGGATTCATCGTACTTTGGTGTCAGTCTTAACGAAACTGTGCATAGAGGATAAAAGTCAGTGGTATAAGCATGTGAGTAGAGTTCAAAGGGCTCTAAATAGTACTTATCAAAGAAGTATAGGAACCAGTCCTTATGAGTTAATGGTGGGTGTAAAAATGAAACAAAAAGAGGATTTAAATATTTTTAGTTTATTACTAGAAGAAAGTAGAGACGAATTTGTGACAAATAGAGAAGAAACGAGAGAACAGGCTAAGATACAAATTTTAAAAGTACAAAATGAAAATCGGCGAAATTATAACAAAAAACGCAAGGAAAGCCTTAAACATAATATTGGTGACTATGTAGTAATCAAGAGAACCCAATTTGGTACTAATATGAAATTAAAGCAAAGGTATTTAGGACCTTATAAAGTTGTTAAAGTCAATGGCAGAGACCGCTATGATGTACTGAAGATCGATATTGCTTCTGAGGGACCTATGAGGACGTCCACTTCAGCAGACTATATGAAGAGGTGGCCAGAGGTTAGTTCTTGAAACTCATTTACTTACCAAATTATTGTAATTTTCAAATTAAGTTGATGGCTGACCTTGTGAGGCATTAGTATTAGCTTATGGTGAAGATAAAGGATTATTTGATTGTACCTATTTTAGTACTTAGTTTATATTGTATTTGATTATAGGAGTATAGGTACTGTACCAGTTGTATTTTTTTTCTTTGTGTATTATTATTATTTTTTGTACTGTGTAATATGTTAAAGTTGTGTAACTATGTTATAAGAAGGGTCATGTTTTAATTTAAGGTGTTTAGTTGTATTTTCATTCTATATTTTGCTTTAGTGTGTAGTAGGTGTGTATGAAAAGAGTGTGTTAGAAGAATTGTAGAGTGAAAGACGGACCCTGAGGTCAGGCTCCAATGCAGGATGGCCGAGTTGTAGGATTTGAAACTTGGCGGTATGAACGAATGGGAACGAATGAGTATGAATGAATGGAAACAGAGGAGCAAATGGATAGAAACGAAAGAGTGAATGGATGGAGAAAGGAATGAATGGAAAAAGAGGATGGGCATCGCTCTCTTCCTCGTAGACTGCCATATAGTTAGGTCGTTTCATGTATCATAGTAAATGTTTTTTTTTGTAATTTAAATAAAAGGAGTTCTATAAAATAATCATCCTGTTATTCGCGAATCCTCATTCCCACATTACATATATGTTTATAAATATTTATTTTAGCATATTTTGAGAAAAATATAAGTCATATATTACGTATATGTACCACGTTTTTCGCAGAATATAAAAATTATACAATGCTTATTGTCCTTTGTGTTCCAACGTAAGCCCAAATTAAACAGACTGTTTGGCCGTTTCAATATTTTAGTGGTTCGATTGCCATCTAAATTTAGTTGTATGCTAAAAGCCTATCCCAATGTTCCTATTTTTAAATTAGTAACTATTCAGTATTAGTAGAAACTACCAAATTTTCCATCTACCTATCTAGTAATTAAAGCATAGTATTTGTATTTAAATTTATACTACAGCACATTATTTATTTATATATGTATTAATAGATGTAATATTGCAACTTTGAGACCGTTTTTTGCCACGACTACCCCACAACGCTTCATGTTTTATGCTTAGATTAGATGGTGGAGAATGCCATAAGGTATTAATCTCTTACTTTGTACCAGTTTTATTGCACAATAAAGAATATATAAACAAATAAAACATTTTTTTATGTAACAGGATTGACAAACAATCTGACACCTGATAGTAAACGGCAACAGCCGCGTATAGAAGTGAACAATATTACATATGTATATATGTACATATATGTTGTGACGTCCGTGGTACCAAGCATGCCTTGCCATATTGCGTTTGTTATGTCTATTATAAAATAATTAAAACAGAAAACGATATTCACATTGTGAACAAAGAATATGAAAACCTTATTAATGAATACGGTAAGGCTAATACAAAATTTGCCCTCAGGCTGTAGATTATATTATATAACTGAATAACAGTTTCTTGTGAGTTTGTCTACATTATAGATAAAAAATAACGTATGCCCGTTCTTGCGATACAATCTACCATCTTGTAATATACTGTCTTTCAATAAGTAATAAACAGATAGAAATTCTAGCATTTATAATATTAACATGGATGTGTGGAGGCTCTCTGAAATTATTATATTGCTGTTATATATATAATAATATACGTATAGTAAGATTTAATTTTATTATCAAAAGGCTTAATGTTTCAGTATGTATACCTATGATCAAAATATATTAATTTAATTTGAATAAATAAACCCCGCAATATATATAGGCTTATCTCCGAGTGGATTACATTTATTTATGCTATTTATACCCCAATTCATAGTATTTATTATAAAGTTAAAATATAATTTATGGAAGCTTAATGATATGATATTTACCATAATCAATATAGGCAAATAATTTACAATAAGAAGTAGTCAAAATAAGACCGATATCAAAATAAAACAGATAAAACCATTTAAGTAAATTTTAGTTCCTACATTCTGTTCCCGTGCCTAATACCTACTTGTTGCTACAAAATTTTATAGTATGCATTGAGATGTAAAAGTATAAACTGAAATATTGAAAGATCACAGAATTCTGAACCTAAAACTAACTACTTATGTGGATTTACTTGTAGACGCGTTACAAAAATTGATGTACGGATTACTAGTAATATTCCATCATTGATGAGCCGCGTTTTTATGGGTTCGGAGCTCTTGTCATGTAGTCTACCTCAGTCGTAAGCCATGCTTTGTCCCATATCTTGATACCCATGATCCATATCATTCTTTGATATTATGATTGTAACGTAGTTATTTTCAAGTCTTTAGAATAAGTAACAGTGTTGAAGTGTGTGGATGATAAATATAATTTATTCTAACAATAACGATTCTAAAAAATATATACTAACATAATAAAAAATAGAACGGAATTTGTTGTAAAGAATTTAAACTCCGAAACTACTGTTACTAGTTATTAATAAAATATAAATAATGATTATAATGTTGTGATATTTTAAAACAAAATACACATATACCTGTATTTTTAAATAAAAACGTATTACTAGTTGATAAATTATTAAAGCCCAACAAAGGTTCTCATTAACGAATAACAAGACGTAGGTTACACATTTCGTTATTATATAAAACTTGATAAGGTACTATAAGATCAATATTGGGTGGGGATCATGTTTGCTTTTCATATGCCTATAATCCCTTGTCAAAGGAAAGGAAGCGTCCGCAACCCTTTGATATAAGCTAATAATGTTATATTGGTGTTGAAAGCCGGTTTTATGTTATATCAATGTTTTGTGTCCGAGAAACTACAATATATAGCCAATATATAGCACCATCGTATATAATAATATATTTGGACGCATGAAATACAATAAATTCTGGAACTTTCTGCTAGACAGTAAATATGGCTTACAATATAAAACAACCAAACCATAACCAAAAATTAATAACAGTGATGTAATTATACAACAAAATTATCTGTGGTAAAGAGAAATGTGCACAATAAATAATTTATCTGTGACCGCTAACTAAATGTATCATTGAATGAAAAAAACAAGCACAGTTAAGTAAAAAAGGATTTAAATAACAGTGTTTCACTCCATTTGAGTACTATTTACAATTTCTTTGTTTAATGCTTATTCTTGTTATGACAATAAGTACCTATTCAGATACTCAGAATAATTTCGTAAAACATGAACATAAGGTTTCATTCTTTTCTTAAATACGCCTATCGTTAATGTATAATACTATTAAAATATCATAAATTCGACAAGATTGTCTTAAAAATTTAACAGGTATTCGTGTTGCCAATCCTATGTTAATTAACAGTGCTAATAATACAT